ACAACAGTGATAGTCACACTCAAGTCACCATCTTGTCACAACAGTTTGGTCACACTCAAGTCACCATCTTATGTTTATATATTCTAGTTATACAATAGTGTCATGCAATGGAATATCCCACCTGTCACTTGTTTTTTCTAGTATACATGCAATCCTTCTTTAAGTATGTGAATACAAGAAAATAATAATGAAAAAATGGCATATTGCATGACTTCACTCGAGAAAGCACATACCATTAATACAACACTAAAAGTTCTATTTGATCCTGCGTTTTTATTGATTATAAAATATTAACATGGTTCCATATTACAGTACTAAGCAGGATGTTTGTACGTCAAATAAACCAGAGTCTTTAAAATGTTCATATTACGACATGTAAGCAATACCCTGAATGCTACAAAATAATTGATATGTAAAGTAAACTAGTAATTGTTTTATTGACAAGAGAATAAAGAACACTTCTGCACAAAAGCATCACATTGACCTTGAAACATAGAAAAGAAATACCTTTCTTATGTTCTTTCTTCCTTTTTTGGCCAAAAAAGTAATTACGTTATTAAGATGTATAATTTAACATTAAATTTTTTGACTCTATGTTTTATCACCATGGATACCAATTATAAATGATGTGGTCATGGAGACCAAGGCTTGTATGAGAGCAACCAATAAATAACGTCACTCAATCTAGTTCAAATTATGAAGATGGTGCTTGGTGTTTTATACTGTATAGTACAAGATAATGATTTAAAAATACATTGTAGACTACTGTCTTGCTTTCAGAGCATCTACAAGCCTGGTGTAAAGAGAACAAACAATCTTGAGTTGGTAATCCAATATGATAATAAGGAAGGGAGAGACTAGGGAGAGTAAGCTAATTAATATTTTTGGGTTCAAAAAATGAGAGTGAGACTGGAAAGAGAAAGTATAGAGGGAGACTGGAACTAGGAAGTAAAGAGAATGAGATGGAGGGAGATTGGAAAGAGAAAGTAAAGAAAATGAGATAGAGGGAGACTGGAAAGAGGAATAGAGTGAAAGTTGTGAAGACAAACTGGGAACGTTAAGTGTGAGGTGATGTAATTCTACCACAGGCTTACCATTCCATAGCTTCATCAAGACCCTCTCCCTTAACAGCAGATGTCTTGAAGATTGCCCATGTTCGATTTTTTAGTGCTGATAATCCAAGCGCATTTGATACTTCAGTAGATGATAATGCTCCTTCCATATCCTGGAATATGTACATACAATACAATCATGGTTTATCATTAAATATAGAGCTTTTGAACACAACTTAGTTCGTATGTTTTCTTGTGTTATGCTTAAATTTTGTGCTCTACCTGAAAGAGTGGCAAGCATGATATCTGGTAAACCTCACCTGTTTATTTGCAAACACAACAAGAATTGCTTTTTTCAGCTCATCCTCCTACAAATCAGACAAAAGAAATTAAATTAAAAAACTTAGGCATGAATTTTTTCTGAGAAAGGGAACATGGTGCATTTTAGATCTTGTGTTCATCATGTCTTTTATGGTGTTGTGAGTGAACATGATGCATTGTGGTCTTGCTTAGGTACAAACATATTTTGTTCATGCCTTGTATGTTGTTGTGAGTAAGCATGGTGTATTATGGTCTACAATCTTAGTCAAAAATGTTGAGAATTTTTTAGTTTTAATGGCATTTTCATGAAAAACATGAAAAATTCCCCTTAAAACGACCCCCTCCCCCCTAAATAATGTTGTTTCGAGGGATACAGGGCTGCTTTACCTACAGGGACCAACATTGTCCCAACCTACCTCTAACATGCTAACAAGCTCCTGTTTTGATATTCCTATTCTCTCTCTGTCCACACTATCAACAACATATATTATAGCATCTGTATTGGAATAGTAGCATCTCCAGTAAGGCCGTATACTGGTCTGACCTGAATTACAAAGAAAATAATACCGTACAGACAACTTGTTACTGGGGAATGTGCTCGAGAGTCAAAAGAGATAAAAACATAAAACTTAAAGAAATAAAACAACAAACAATATAAAACAAGATGTCTAAGGTTGGCCCTGAAAAACTGTTCTATTTCTTGATTCACATATCCTTTAAGGATCAAAATTTTTGAACAGGGTTGGCATAGTGGTTTACTGATCACCTCTCACTGCTGTGTTTCTGGATCAAGTCTTCTCAGACTGGATCGTATGTGAGTTGAGTTTGTTTGATGTGTTGTTCTCTCCCTTGCCAAGAGGCTTTTTTCTAGTGTCCTCCCTCCGTAAAATCAACATGTGAGTTAAGTGTTGTATGTTGTAATGCAATATAGAATTTGGTGGTAGTGCGTGTGGAGGGAACCCCATGGAGGAGTTCTGTACAAGGAGTAGTGGATGTAAAATAAAGATTTTTTTATAACATGAGAAAGCCATCATGACTGATGTAAATAGAAAGAGAAAATCCTGTCACTCTTACCTCCAAGATCCCAGACTAAAGTGATAAGGTGTTCCAGAGGTGAGAGAGAAATAGAGAAAAAATAAAATGAATTTGTATTAGTAATTATTATTTATTAGTATTGTGGCCAGCCTTATTCTTGTCCTGATAACCTGTGATTCCAGGAACTGTCATTTACCACAGTATAACTATCTTTTTGGAAAGGACCTTCTAACATACAAATTAAGCTGACTCTTTGAGGGTGGAGTACTATTAATCGGAGTAACTTGAATACCAGTACATACCTTGAAATTTAAGATTTTTATAGGTGACTGTTTCAACATTGAATCCTATGGCTAAACAACAATGACAACAAGAAATTAGTATGAACATTTACTTTGATTTCAAGTTTTTTTTCATGCTTCTTATTTCAAGTAGCGTTTCTTAGGTCTCTCCTCATTTACTTTGATTTCAAGTTTTTTTTCATGCTTCTTATTTCAAGTAGAGTTTCTTAGGTCTCTCCTCATTTACTTTGATTTCAAGTTTTTTTTCTTGCTTCTTATTTCAAGTAGCGTTTCTTAGGTCTCTCAATCTGTGAGGTAGCCATGCCCTGATTTAGATCAGCCTGGAGGTTGTATCTGGGTTCAATCTGTGAGTTACCCATGCCCTGACATAGATCAGCCCAGACATAAATTGTTAGTACTAGATTCTGATGCTCACTTGGTATCGTAGTTACAACTTCACCGACTTGAAGTCTGTAAGAACAAAAGCCAGAGTAATATAAATAATATTTTTTTAAGCTCTACATATATGGTAACTCAAATTAACTAAGTGTATTTATAAAATGTTTATTATGTGACATCAAACAATAGTATAAACTGTTTTGACATGAATAAACAACACAACTTCTACAAAACCCAATAAATTCTAGTCTGTTTTCTCTATTATTTTCGTTTTTCGATTCAAAATAAAGAGATCTTCGAAATCCAGAGCAGACATACCAAACTGAAGCAAAGAGTTGTAAAGTTAGATTCTCAATACTTTGACATTTGTAATTACATCTATGACGCTTTGTGCTATGAATAATATATCTATCCAGTTCTGATTAACTAATGCAGCTTACAAAACCTTTATTCCTTGGAAAATAATGCAGTTTTTCTGAAGGATTTTCTTTTAGTTTACCTGTACAATATCGTAGTTTTACCAGCGCCATCCAAGCCAAGGATGAGAATACGAAGCTCTTTTTGACCAAATAACGAAGAAAACAAGCTAGAAAAAAACCCACCTGATAAGATAATAATAAAACTATTAGATGGTACCCTAGAGTAGTTAATTTGATAAGTAATTGTGTTTTAAAATCATTGTTTTTCTCACCCATTTTGACTTCTCCTTGGAAAAGAAAGACTTGAACTGGTTGCGTGGCCAATGGGCAAAACAGCTGACATTAAGATTACGGACTCGGGATCCATCAGGCTTTGCGCGAATACCACAGGAAACCCAATCATAACAGGTAAAATCAATTATTCCTCTAGTTCTGATTTATATTCTATTCAATTTTCTCTCTTTTTCTTTTATTTTATTTCACATTTACCTCGTTTTAATTGCTTCTGAACTTTGTAAACTGGTAATATGGTTCCAAGGGATAGTTAAGCAATGACAAAATCGAAAAACTTCACACCAGAAAATGTATTCAAGAAGAAGCACTTTATTCAGTCATCATAATGATCACATATACGAAAGTGCTGTTCTTAAATATAGACCATTCTGCATTTATTCTAAATGCAGCTCAGTTTGGAAGGCAAAAAACTAATATTTCATATAGTCCATCCGCGCATTCTAGTCCTACGTACTACCGTACAAAATGGCGGTCGCTAGCGTGAATCCTTTTATTGATTTGCAGCGAGTGGGAATCAGTGCTGCAAGGGGTAACGAGAAACCTAACTTAGTTGGATTACAAAAATTGAAACATCTAAAAACGTTGAATTTCGATTTACGTGTAAAAAGGAATGGCTGAAATGATACAATTGCAGAAATGCGGGGACAGGGGAGGGGAGAGAGAGACCGGCAGTCCGGCATATTTCCTGTTACTTAGTTTCACAAGATATTTTTTGGGGCAAGAATGGAAGTTATATTTTACTACGTAAGTTAGTCATACTCGTTTTCTCGAGTTTTTCGCGATGTTATGAAATCAACTTGTTACATCAAAGTCGTACAGATTTGTAAAAACGTTTTTGAAAAATAAGAAGTGTCTCTCTCCCCGTTGGGAATCTATTTCCTTGTCATCACTCAGTCACCCAGTAGTCAGTCAGTCACCCAGTAGTCAGTCAGTCACCCAGTAGTCAGTCAGTCACCCAGTAGTCAGTCAGTCACCCAGTAGTCAGNCCCAGTAGTCAGTCAGTCACCCAGTAGTCAGTCAGTCACCCAGTAGTCAGTCAGTCACCCAGTAGTCAGTCAGTCACCCAGTAGTCAGTCAGTCATCCAGTAGTTACAAAGCTGTGTCTTCCATTTTTTCATCTGAACTTTTCGATTTCTTCTTTTCATCAGACACGTCGTCATCCGCGTCGCCCCAGTCACCAATCTTAATGACCTGAAATTTCAAAACGATTATTTTTGATTTTTTTGCTATTGCTGGTTTTCAAACATTACCAAGAGAGTGAAATAAGAAAAGCACGGCGGCCATGTTGGTTGATATAACAAAAGAATTCATTGATAACTCTTTCGTTAAATTCAACCAAGATGGCGGCGATGACGTCATGCGCAAAAGAAGAATAAGATAAAACTATTTATTGGGTTACCTGTTGTAGCTAAAAAAGAAATTCCCATGTGCAACAAAATGTTAATCTACGGGGGGTACTAACCGAAATAGCAGGGGAAATGTCATGTGGTTTCTCCTCTTCGATGTCCCATTCAAAGTCGTATCCAGGCAACCACGATAGCAACCAATCCTTGGTTGGGAACAACAGCTTGGGATCCAGTTCCTCTGCGTAAGCGCGGTCAGCCTTTGTTTCTTTTAAGAGAACAAGATAGTCATGAGTGAAAAATTGAAATTGCTTTTAATAACTATGACTGTTGCCATGGTGACGTACCTGTAACGAGACTGACAATTATGCCAATCACGAAGGACACCATGATAGACAGTCCAGAGAACCACAGATATGAGATGCTGTAGAAGTCAGCTATGCCGTCACTGTATGGAAGTGGGGAAAAAAAATCAATATCGGGTACCCTGTGGAAGCAAGGAAGCAAGGAAGCAAGGAAGCAA